AGTTCAAGTACCTCGGAATTATATTTACTAGTGATGGAAAGTTGGAGGAAGAGATCGACCGGCGAATTGGAGTAGCCGGTGGCGTTCTGCGTGAAGCAGCCCGACCCATTGTGACTAAAGCAGAGCTCAGTCTGAAAACTAATCTCTCGGTATTAAAGTGGTTCTTTATCGGATGCTTACCCACGGTCATGAATCATGGACTATCGCTGAAAAACTTCGAACCCCTGTACAAGGTGCTGAAATGGGCTTTCTTGGACGAGTCGCTGGCTTGTCGTCTCGAGATGGTCCTGAATATCCGTGAGATCCTTGGTATACAGACGTTAGTTCTTCCGATTAAGAAGTCACGGTTGCGATGGCCTCTGGTACGTGTTGCGAATGAATTCAGAGTCGACGCAACTGTTTGTTTTTGAACCTAGCGGCGGAAGTCTCCGGGGACGGCGTATATTAATCTGGGGTAACTTTGTGGAAGGATTCTACTCTGGACTGTAGACCCTTCCCCCGCAGTTGAAACGTTGGCACAGGATGGTGAACGTTGACTCAAACGCATTTCCTCCGCCGCCCGAAAGAATCAGCCGTCATCGAAATTGACTGAGTGACGATAGCCACAGGTATGGGAGAACGCGGAACTACACATAGTGGTTCCATTGAGAAAATGAATTTGCGGCCGGGTATAGTAATCCTTCCAGGTGAGCACGTGGCATTTTGAGGTACCAAGAGAGCGTGGAATTCAGCCAATGATATCCTCTGTTCAAATGGCAAGTGGTCGAAAGTATTACTAGGCTGATAGAGCATGAATTGGTTTGTAAAGCAAGGTAATTTTCTATGTAAATGACTATAAAAATGTGCACCTGTTTAAAGCGTCGATGCTGTACCCGGCCATATGTTCATCGCTTGACGGTAAGGCTGCTGCCAGTAGGTACTTCTTTGTTTCATTCTTTAAATGCTCACTTAGCATCTACGAAAAATCGTAACTTTCTGGGAATCATCTTCGAGACCTAACCTTCAAGACGTTCGTTAAGTTGGTTTTTTCTTCTCTGGTCGGATACTCAAAGTCGATGTCGATGCCATCTAAACCATTATGATCCAAAAACATTTTTGCGGAAGTGACGAATGTTCTTCTGCCAGATTCAGAGGCAAAAGTATCCCTTAGGATGTCAGAATTGTTGCCCCAGCCTCCACAAGCGATCAGAACCTGAAAGTAGCATTTTAAAACAACTGGGATTTTGACAGAACTGTCGTAACAACGAATGAGTGTTTATTTAATGAAATAATTTTCGTTGACGCCGTTAGTAGGAAGATTCCTGGTCTTTTATCCACTGTCTCACTTTATACCTAATTTGTTTTACTT